CTCCAATCACCGCGTAGGCACGACCACGAGCAGGACTGCCCTTCGTGTGGAAGTTTGCTCTTAGGTCTGTTCTGTGCAGCTCCCTCTGCTTCCTGCAGAGTGTGGTGTCAGCTGCACGACCAGCCATCTTTACCCACAGGTAAAGTGTGAGCACGGCGTCTGTGACACGTGGCTGGCAGAATTTCTGATCGAGTTGAGATGGACTATTTTTCACAAAAATATTACAATAGACAGTTATGGTTTGTGAATGTTGCTCATAGGCTCCTGTGTTTGGACACTTGTGTAACGATAATTCTTTCCACCAGTTGCCTGGGTTCTGCCGCCACTTTGTGGCCCCAAATAATGCCTGGTGATGCTATTGGGGAAGGTGATGTCCCAGTGGTCTCCAACCCATTTCTTGTCCATGTTCACTCAGGTTTAGTTTAATTGGCGGGGAAGGAGGGTATGTGAAGGTCAGAGGACAGGTTAGGGAAGTCAGTTTTTACCTTCCACCTTTTTGATGTTTGTTTTTATTTTGAGGCAGGGTCTGGCTGCCCTGAAACTCATTATGTGGTCCAGGTTAGCCTCAGATCCATAGAGATCAGCCTCTCTCCAGCCACCACCCCCCACCTCCTAATCCCCAATGCTGGGATTTTAGGAGTGCATAACCACACCTGGCTGCCTTCCCTTTTGTTTGTTTGGTTGGTTGGTTGGTTGCTTGCTTGCTTGCTTGCTTGCTTGCTTGCTTGGATTTTGGAGACACGGTTTTTCTGTGTACCACCAACTGTCTTGGAACTCACTCTGTAAACCAGGCTGGCCTTGAACTCAGAGATCCCTTCTGTCTCTGCCTCCACCTCTCTAGTGCTGGGATTAAAAATGGCCACCACAGTCGGCTCTGCCTTCCACCTTTAAGAAAAATAATATGTATTAATTTATGTGTATATGTGTAGGGGTGCATGCATGCCATGGTGCAGCTGTGAAGGTCACAGGACAGCTTGCAGGTACTACTCCTCTTCCTCCCCCCTGTAGTATCAGGGGTTAAACGCCGGTGTTCGGGTTTGACAGCAAGTGCTTTAACCTGCTAAGCCATCTTGCCAGCTCGCCATCTTGGTTGCTTGCATTTTCTTGTTTATGTATGGAAGTATTTTGCCCACTTGTATGTATATATTTGTACCATGTGCATGTCTGGTGCCTGCAGAGGCCAGAAGGGGTTGAATTCCCTAGAACTGGGGTGACACTTTTTTCTTTTCTTTTTTCTTTTCTTTCTGCCATCTAAGTCCTGGGGCTGAACCCTCTGCAAGAGCAGAAAGTGCTCTTAAATGTTGACCATCTCTCCAGCCTCCCCCACCCCACTCCACCAACACATACCTTGTTTTTTTCAGGCAGGGTCTCTCTCTCTCTCTCTCTCTCTCTCTCTCTCTCTGTCTGTCTCTGTCTCTGGTTCTTTTTTTATTTAATTTTTTTTCATTTTATATACCAACCCCAGTTCCCCCTCCCTCCCTGTTATGATAAATCTTTCTGCCAAAAGCCACCGAGCCCCACCGCCACGTGTACCCTTTACACAAGCTGCCCGCCCGAGTTAGGCCCAAATAAATACCCAGAAACTTGTATTAGGTTTAAAGCTGCTTGGCCAATGACTAGGATTCCTCATCTGTTAGCTCAGTCTTAACTATCATAAATCTATATATGTTATAAGACTTATCTTATTGGACGCCTTATTGGCGTCCCTCCTTGTCGGTGGATCACATCCTGCCACTGGAGGAG